GTTTGGCCGCTGCGCCCGGGCGCCGGCTGCGCCTTCTGCCGCGGCTCTCTGCGGGCTGCGGGAGCCTTGGTAGCAAGGTCAGGCAGGGGCTGACGAGGGTTGCGCCGTGCTCCTTTCCACGCTTGTCTGCAGGGGAGAAAGTTGGCTGGAGGGGCGGGCGGGGGGCGCTGGCAGGCAGGCAGGCAAGGGGAGGGGTGTTTGTATGGAGGAGACGCGTGCTTCCCGCCCCCCTTCCCTAAATACTTTCCTTTTATAAAGGTGCTGATCCTTCTTCTTCTTTTTCTTCTCCTCTGCATCCAGGGAAAAGTTTGAAGACTCTTATGTCCAAAGGAATCTTACAGGTACATCCTCCAATCTGTGATTGCCCTGGGTGTCGAATTTCGTCTCCAGTGGTAAGATTATTGTTAAACTATGTGCTTTAGTTAAGACATCTCCCCTCTCCTCCGCCTCCTTCCCTTAAAAAAATCCCTTTGCTTCTGTGATCATGAAAGCGTGATCTCTGAGGGCTAGGAACCGTCAGTCACTGAGCCTTTGCCAGAGCCCTGCTTGCGCTGCCAGCGTACCTGCGGTCTGGTCACAGGCTAGCAGCAGAGGAGTTTGCAAACAGAGCAGATGGGAAGAGCAGTGTCTGACCTAAGGGATGCAGCACGCAGCGTGGCTGTATGGTTTTCAGGGGGAGCTGTCTATGCGCAAACGGCAAATCATTCAGCAGCCGCTTCCCTCTTCTCACCCCTTCATTTTTGTGTGTTGTGCAGAGGTGTAAAATGGCTAAATAAAGCAAAAGGGAATTATAATTGCATCCACGCGTTAGAGTCAGAACAGCCACAGTTTACAATCGTTAGAGAATTTTTTTAGATAAGCTGAAGGAGGAACAAGCTCATCTTAAACGCTTACAACTTTTCCAACATTCACGTCATAGATCACAGTTATTGCTTTTATATATCTTTTCTTCCCAACTTTTGAGTTCCTTGTGTTTTCTGCTGTCTGCCTGAGACTTTCAGAATCTCTCTACGACGTCAACGTTTTCATGGAAAAGATGTTGATGCTATAAATAAAAAGCTACTGAAGTCATAGTAAACTAAGGCATTAAAAACAGTTCATCACGTGCAAAAATAACCATAAAATACAATAACATCTAAATGGGATGGCAAAGCTGTTGGTTTGTGGAACTAAAGCAGGTCTTGGTCTGAAAAAAACACCATGACTTAAAACATTGTCAGTAGCGCTGGGGAAGCAGATGCAGCTGGAAATTTATGTACTTTTATCCACTGCAAGCAACCGTTTTTTCTTGTATTGTTTCTTTGAGATCAAATGGACAATCTCTTTTCACATGCAGTGTCTTTAGGATTCTGCACGACAGACGGAATCGCGGATTTAAATTATTTCTGCATGGTATATATGTGCATGCCTGCCTATGTATACAAATCTGCACATCCGCACGGGAAGGGGCTCAGAGCAACAAGCGACAGTTACATAAATTAAGGTGAAGATGCCACCTCTGTGACGCCAGTCTCTTGCGCCTGTTTTGTGCAGCAGCAGTCCGTACCAAAGCAGGAACGGCCCCTCCAGCTTACGGGTGCTGGTTGTATTGCAGCATTGCCCTGGTATTTTAAACCCAGCAAAGCCGATAGACCAAAACCTGGCTTTTCCGACGGACTCATGTGGTTCCTCTGAGTTTACGGGGCAAAGTGCGATGCGGTGTAATAAGCTTTCTCCAGTTTTGAGTTTTGCATGTGCTTTAGTTGCCAGTCATGTGGATCACAGGCCAACAAGCAGTGATCTGTGGCCCAAAGTGATATGCCACAGCTGCTGGTGGTGTTGAGAAGTGTCTGGCCAGATGACGCTGTCTACTGGTCCCTTTCTGGGTACCGAGTTGCATTAGGTGGTAGCCAAAATGACTCGTTGCGCTTTCCTAGCAGCAACATTTTTAATAGTTGCACAGGGATACTATGCATTTACAGATGGGAAGGCAGCTCTGCATGAAACAAGTGTCTTTTAAAATAGAACTGAATTTGAGAAGCTCAGATAGGGGAAAAGAGAGGCTGGTATAGTTTCGGGAAAGGAGAAATAAATCCTCCTGGACTTGCCTCCTACGGCTTCCCCAGCTGTATAAATTAGTTAGAGGGGAGGTTGATGTCAGAATTTGCACAGCAAGGACAAACCCCAATGAGAGCTTTTATCAGAACGCTGTTTCTCAGTGCTTACTGCATTTTCTGTGCTGTAATTAGAACATATACCTGACCAAACGACAGTTTCACATTTTGAACCTGAAATCTTGCGGTAGCGCCTTGTCATAGCTACATGCGCGACACATTCAAAACAGTTACACAAGAAGGAGGATTAAAAACGGGGCACGGTTTTATCTTTCCCCATTTAGCGATCGCCGATTTAAGCACCACTGAGATCAAAGGGCTGTTTCTCCTCAAATGTAGAAATGCTTTATATTCTGTAGTGTAGGTGACTTGCGTTGCCTGGGCCCTTGTGCTACTGTGTTATCACATGGGGGGTGTGGAGACGGGGGGCTGGTTCTGTCAGCAGCTGGTTCTGCTGATCCGAAATCAGTCCTTGGACAGCGGGAATGGGCCAGAAAAACTCAAGCGTTGCCTTTGGAATGGGGCATCTGCATCTTCCCCGTCTGCCAACTGCTCCAAGGACCCGGCCCAGCTCTGCCTCCGGGAAGGGTTGCATCCAATTTATCCAGCCCCGCCACCCTTGTCCAATCAGACCGGTAACCTCAGGGGCTGTAATCAACAGCCGCGATTGTTCTGCGGCCCAGTCTGGGTCTCTTTCGGGGCTGGGGAGAGGAGGGGTCGATCGGGAAGGGAAATTGCATCGAGCGACAGGGCCAGCTTGCAAAACGCGGCTGCGGAGCTGGAGCCTCGCCTCGCCTCGCCCGGCCCCCCCGTGCCCGCACGGCCCCTTCCCCGCCCCCGTCCCACCCGGGCG